AAAGACAGGTTGGCTCTTGTCAGTGAAGATACCGGCCCTAGGATGTAACTGCCACCATAACTGCTTTTAGTTAAAGTTTAATTTCAGACCATCCTTTGTGGTTACTTTAGGTCTCTGAGTTTTCAAGACCGCCATGCAGGCCTCCCCTGAGCTTGTCAGGTCAGCATGTGGCCCCTTTCATCCACACCCTATATTTTTAGGTTCTAGAATTTTAAAAAAAGTGTATTTAATGTCAATGCAGTACTTTCAAGAGAGCAGCTAACACATCAACCCAAACATGCATATGTATAAGGTAGGTGAGCAGGGAAGGCAGGAAGGTGCCCACAGTTCCTACGTCTGAAGGAGGCCCAGAACTGGGGTCTTGGGGAGACAGGGCCTCTCGCTTTCCTGATGGAATCTGGTTGAGCAGGTTCCAGTGAATACTTCTGTGCGCAAACAAAGGAGGATCCTATCCGGCAATTGCTGCCCAGCGGGTGGAGAAAGAGAGAAGAGAAAAAATGGCAGGTGAGTTGATGAAGAAGGAACCACACTGCAAACCCTTGAGAAGGATCATATAAACGGAGCCCCTCGAAATGGAGCTGGAGCTGCCACCCGAGGACCTGCCTGCATGCAGTGTGCCTCCGCTCTTTGGAAGGTTCGAGTGGCCTCGGCACTGGGCCTGAGCAACCTTGTACCGAAAACACTGCTTACAGCGATGACCAGACAGCAGTTACTGTGACTGCTGCACGGACGACCACTGGACTGACAATTAAATAACATTATTTAGAATTCGCTTCCCTACGAATTCCAGGGAATAATGGTGGTGATGTCATCTGCACCGATAGAAATGCCTTTGAAACATGGGGTTCGGGGTACAGACTTCTTCTCGTGGGTCCTTGTCCGACAAAGTTTGAAGAATAAACTCGTGGACAAAAAGGCTTCTTTAATAAAAATAAAAAAATGTGGATGTTTATTGGAAGCACATACAAACTCCATCTGGGCACCTGGGTCCCCAGCGGGGTCCCCCTAGGAATGGGCCATCAAATGGGAAAAACCTGCTCTCTCTAATGGGAAACAATTCTACATCCAAAAATCTAAAATCTGTAATCTGTCTTGTGTCCCTTGGTCTCCAGTTTATTAGTATAGTAGAGGCCTGGTGCACAAAAATTTGTGCACTCGGGGGGTCCTTCAGTCTGGCCTGTGCCCTCTTGCAGTCTGGGACCCCTTGGAGGATGTCCACCTGCTGGCTTAGGCCTGCTCCCTGGGGGATCGGGGCCAAGCTGGCAGTCAGACATCCCTCTGGCAGTCCGGCAGCCCTCGGAGGATGTCCACTTGCCAGCGGGGAGCAGGCCTAAGCTGCAGTCGGACATCCTTAGCGCTGCTGAGGAGGCAGGAGAGACTCCCACCACCACCGCTGTACTGGCAGCTGGCAGCCTGGCTTGTGGCTGAGCAGAGCTCCCCCTGTGGGAGCGCACTGACCACCAGGGGGTAGCTCCTGCATTGAGCGTCTGCCCCCTGGTGGTCAGTGTGTGTCATAGTGACCAGTCATTCCCAGTCATTCTGCTGTTAGGGTCAGTTTGCATATTACCCTTTTATTATATAGGATAGAGGCCTGGTGCGCAGGTGGGGGCCGGCCGGTTTGCCCTGAAGGGTGTCTTGGATCAGGGTGTAGGTCCCGCTGGGGTGCCTGGCCAGCCTGGGTGAGGGGTTGATGGGTGTTTTCAGCCTGGTCACACCCCCTTCAGGGTGGGGGTCCCCACTGGGGTGCCTGGCCAGCCTGGGTGAGGGGCTTGATGGCTGTTTGCAGGGTGGTCATACCCCCTTCAGGGTGAGGGTCCCCACTGGGGTGCCTGGCCAGCCTGGGTGAGGGGCTGAGGGCTGTTTTCAGGCTGGCCAAGCCCTCCCACCCCCCGGCGACGGAAGCTCCCAGCCTCTCCTTTTTTTATTTTTATTTTTTATTCTGGGATTTATTTTCCTTCTATAATTGAAATTTTGTTGCTTTGAATGAGCTCAGAGCCAGGCTGTGGCGGTGGAGGGAAGCTTGCTTCCTCCATCGTCAGGGCAACCCACTCCTGCTCACTCCAGCTCCATGGC